GCCAGTGACGTCCAAAGGGCTTTTGATGAAGCAGGGGGAGGTTAGTCTTTAGTTTTATTTAGGCCTTTAACTGATTTTAGGATAAGATCTAATGATGCTCTGGAACCCAGTTAGAAATTTAAATGGTAATATCATACATAAGCATCCTCCAAGTTGATACATAAAATTAATAGCTCCAGCCAGATTTATTTTGAATTTTTTTTGACAAGAGTCTTTCTCTGTAGGCCAGACTGGCCTCACACTGATGATCCTCCTGCCTTACCCCACGTGCTGGGATTGCAGGTGTGCATAACCAGTCAGGCTTGGACTTTAAGGATTTACTTGATTGTGTTAGCATTTATTTTAGCTTAGATCACAAAGGAGTTATAAGCCGCTAAAACCAGCTGTGTTATGGTTAGAACCTGTTGAAGTTGATTTATAGTCTGCTGTATGTATAGGTGAATGTGTTAGGAAATTGTGCTATGTGTTCTTTATCCTTCAGTTCTTACTCGTAAAAATTGGTTAATGAACTGAAATATTGTTGCAAAGTTGCTGTTTAATAAAATGTATTTTTTAAGGTGGATTTTGCTAAGCAAGTGTTAAAAAGCATTCTGTTTTAAAGAATAAACATGTACTTAGTCTCCATGAAAAAGTTTGTGTTACTGCTTTATATTTAGACTTGAGCCCCAATGGGCCAGTGCAGTCCCACAGTACTGTCTGCTGACGTGCATCTGCACTGCTTGAGTCTTGGTCCGGCAAACTGGACATAATGCCAGAAGGCTAAATATAAATCTTTTGAGAGCCAGGAATACATAAACTGGTTCTTAACAAACAATGTATCATAGAGTGAAAATATTTTTTTAAAGAAAATTTCCATCCTGGTTTAGCATGAGTATAAATCCTGGTATAATTTTCCACGAAATGCTAAGATTGTTGATTTTTCTCTTTTAGTTGACCCTGTAGTTAAATAATAGCCATTGTTAGAAGTCCTCTCATTATTGTATCATTTAACTCTTGAGTTTCTAGATCTAGTCTCCTGTTCACTTGACTTTAATTTAAAAAAAAGACACATAGTTTGCACAGTGAAACTCTGAAGTATGTTAATGTGGGTTGATTGGTCATTGGAATTTAGTTTGCACTGTGTAGTTCTTGGAACAGTAAGCGTAAGTTGACCTCTACTGAACTAAGAAGTCTGTGGGCTGAAACTAATGCCATTTTACACTTCAACATCTCTTATGATTTAAGTACGTTTTTGTTATATTTTATATTATTGGTTGGTTTTACCCAAGGGTCTAGAAGCATCTTACAGCCAGCAACTCTGCAAAATTGTAAAGGGAAGCAGAAATATCTTCATGCTGAACAGTAGGCCATGTTTCTAAGTTCAGATTTGTGGCCTGCCTCCCACAGAATGAGTAACTTATCAATACTGCATGTATGTCAGGACTGCATGTAAGAATCTCCAGGTATGCTTGGGAAAAATATAAAGATTTCCAGCCTGCTGAATTAGAATTCAGAATATTTTTATTGCAGTGAATGAGGAGATGTGTTGGACAATGGTATTTTGAAATGTTTTGAAAATTAGCTTTTTTAGTAAGCATACAAAATACTGAGTTTCATTGTGACATTTCATATATACTTGAAATATACCTTGCATGTATTTTCCTGTCCCCCTTGCATGTATTTACCTCCCCCTTCCCCACTGGCCCCTTTCTGTCCCCCAAAAGCCCCCCCCTTCATCTTTCATTGTCTGTCTGTCTGTCTCTTTCTTCTTTATCTATAAATGTAGATTTCAAATATATGAGGAAATATGTACAATTTTCTTTCTCCCCGTCCCTCTTGTTAGCTCCTCGGCCCTCCCTTTAGACCTCTTCTATTGTCCCCCTTCTACTTCCATGTTCCACAACTGTGTTCATATATATTTAGATTATGCATATGAGAGAAAGCATGTTTGCTGTGCTGAGTCTGACTTAGGGAAATAGTATTTTAAACAAGTGAAGTGTTCTTCGTATAACTTGTCTGTCGTCCTAGACCCTGGAAGAATTTCTAACAGGTCTTTCAAAACTGAAGGAGGAAGCGACAGTTGTTGTTCACAGCTGCTACAATTGTTCCAGATAAGGAAAGGGAAGGGGAAATGAAGAACACAGTAGCTCCGGAGAAGAATCTGAGGAACCCTGCAAATGAGGAAGGCCATTGTGGATGTCAGAGCATCAGTATTTCCTTTCCTGCCTTATCATCCTCATGTGCCTGTTCCTGCATTCTCCCTTGACTCAGTTCCATGTCTTTACTGAGAGGAAGAGGTGTTGGGTTGAAGATGACTGTGCCAACTGCACATCACGCTAAGTACTTTTTTAGGCCACTTCCCTTGCAAACTCATCCAAGACAATGTTTCAGTAAAACAATGGGCTATCAGTTTAGGCTTCAGGGTCTGACTCATGTCTTCCTTTAAGTTTCAAATCTTCTTTGCACATATCTATTGCTCTCTTTTATTTTTGGGTAGATTTTAACATATTTCCTTTAAGAAAAATTATGAACTAAAACAGGATGTAGGAATTAGGAATCCATCCTGACTTTTCATCTTGACAGCCCTGTTGCCACTAACCTTTCTAGGCTGTGCTTCCCTGCCTGGGAAATGCATGCAGTAATTCTTACTGGGTTCAGGGGATGCTGGGAGGCTCAGTCAGTGTTCAGAATGTGTTGTGAGACAGCCCAGGCCGCACTCAAAATGTACAGCTCATTAATATCCTTGTATCATGGTGTGCTTACCTGTTGGCTTCCCTGGCTTCATTACTTATCAGGAGTCGTGTCTGCTTTGTCCTTTTCTGTACAATAGGCATCAGTTCTGCAGGCTTGTTGGCGATTTTCTATTGCAGAATAGTCAGCTGACCTAACAAGCAGCAACTAAGTATCATATGTGGTGCCTGTCAAAATAATGCTGTCTGTGTTTAAAGGTCTCACTTGTGGCCTGTCCTCTCTGCTGACTGGCTGCTCATATGTGAAGTTTTATATTCTGTAGCTGGCAGTTTTGTTTTTTTTTTCCCCAATATTCCTTCTTTTGACTACCCTTTTCTTCCCAGGGAAGGGATAAAGTTTCCTTATATATATAGTATCCAGTAGGGTGGGATGCTGATAAATCTTGGTCCTATCTTCCTAACCAGAGGATATAAACATTAGGAAATGACCTGAGGTCCTCTGGCTCAGAACGCTGACCAAATGAGGAAGAGGCTGTTGCTCAAGACTGTGTCTTATCTGTAGATGAAAGGCCCTGTGTGTTCCATCCCTGTCATCATCTCTCTGACAAGCCAGAGTTGGAGTGCTCTACAGATTTCTTCATGTGTATGATGACTCTGTCATATTTTTCTGAGATTTGAGAGAAAAACCTCCTTATTGGGAAGGACCTGTATGAATTATTTGTGGGTGGCCCATGTTTCTGCAACTCAAGGCAAGGTTCAGAACTGACTGACTTCTCTGCACAGTACTGCATCTTTCCTGATGCAGTAGTATTGTTCAAATGGAAACACACAGACGGGGGTGCATTGTAGGTAGGTCTGAGGATGACACCATTGAAGATGGTTGAGGAAACCTAATAGACCTACAGTAATAAAGCCCAGTCTCATGGTCAGGCCTTCCTCTATGGAAAACTCTATGCTAGATTCTGCTATGAAAGTAGACCAGGGAACTACTGAGGTGGAAAGGTACAAGGCAGCTGGGGGAGTGGGTGGAAGAGAGGAGTAGAGAAGGAGAATTAACCAAAACAAAGTATGTATGAAAATGTCCTGATGAAGGCTGTTACTTTGTATGTCGGTTTAAAAAATGCTGAGAAATTAAAATGGCATATTTGAAACTAGGCAACAGATAAAACCATAAAATAAACATTTATCAACAGCGAAACAACAGATTCTACTATGCTAAATTTGGGAGCAAAGCTGTACTGTGGGTAATCTTTCTGAAGCCCAGTTTGTTTCTTTCCCCCCAAATCTCACTGATTAAATCTAGCTGTTCAACACCTAGTTTATGTCTTAAGGATTTGATCAAAACACCTTATATGCATGTATGAAATTCTCAATAAAGTTTTTGTAAAAGTTAAAAAAAATTTAAATGCATATTAAAAAAGGACATCAATAACTTATCTCCTGTTTGCTCACTTGCTCTCATTGTGCTATAGATAATCTGTCTCTGATACAGTCTAGAATAGCCTTGCCTTTGGACCATCTTAGTATTTGGGGAATAAGTAATTATATCATAGATGAAGTATTTTCAAACATACCAACCTCCCTCAGCCCTCCTCTTTTTTGAGACAAGGTCTCACTGTAAATCCCTAATTGGCTTTGAATTCTCTATACGTGAGAGGCTGGCCTCACACTCTTTTTGAGAACAGATTTATTTATTTCTATGTGTATATGTGAGTGCCTCTGTAAGCTTATATGTTCTGCATGAGCTTATATGCACCACATGTGTGCAGGAGTCCAAGGGAGCCAGAAGAGCACATCAGATCCCCTGGAGCTGTCATTACAAATGGTTATGATGAGCCATCATGCGGGTGCTGAGAACCAAAGTTGAGTTCTCTGCAAGAGCAGTAAGTGCTCTCAACTGCTGAGCTGTCTCTCTAGCCCTTGCCTCACACTCTTGACTCTCTTGCCTTATCCTCCCTAGTGCTGAGATTAGAGGCCTGCACCACCATTTCTTTCTATTTTATTTTATTTTTTAATGATGCTTTATTCTTTGAAAGTTTCATATGTTTATACAATATATTGATCATATCCATCCACCACTACCTCACTCAGTGCCCCTAGTGTACTCTACACCATCTACCAACATTAAGTCCCCTTTTAATTTATTTTTGTTAATAACCCTGAGTTCAACTGTTGCTGCATATGGGTATACAGCTCTCTACTGGGACAAGAGTAACCTACCAGCAGCCATGTCCTCAAAGGAGACAGCCAGCAGCTGCTGCTTTGATAGGTTGGAGCCTTGGGGCCCCTCCCTGTCCGTGCTGGAATTTTGACTGGTTTGATCTTTTGCAGATCTTGTGTGGGTAACCACAGCTGCTGTGAGTTGGTGTGTGCAATGGCCATGTCATGTCCAGAAGTCAACATTTCACAGGTCTCCTCCCCATCTGCCAGCGTTTACGTTCTTTCCACCCCCGACTTTCACAACATTCCCTGAGCGTATGGTGGAAGGTTGGTAAATTTGACCCATCTACAGTTGAGTGCTCAGAGTTGTTTTTTTTTTTCTGCAAGGGCAGCCAGTGCTCTTAACCACTGAGCCATCTCATTTTTATTTTATTATTTTATTTTTTTAAATTTTATTTATTTTATTTTATTTTATATTTTATTTTATTTTATATTTTAGCATATGTGTGTATTGCCTGCATATAGGTAAGTGCACTTGTCGTGCAGCGCTTATGGAGATCAGAAGAGGGCGTCAGATCCCCTGGAGATGGAATTACAGATAGTTGTTAACCACCATATGGGTTCTGGGAACCAAACCCAGATCCTCTGCAAGAGCAGCCAGTGCTCTTAACCGTTGAAACCATCTCAGTTTTCATATGATATAATTTAATGGTATTTAAATTCCCTCCTCTATCCACACCTCCCCTTATTGCTCCCACCCAATTTAATGTACTCTATTATATATATGATGTAAATATATACCTATATATAAAATAGGTATATATGACCTATAGAGTCTAATTTGTGTGTCCAAATATCCTTCAGTCTGGGTCCATCCAGTGGAGTCTGGTTAACTGACTAAGAGTCGTATCCTTGAAAGAGACTGACTCTCACCCTCCCAGCAGTCATCAGTAGGCACAATTTCCTTAGGTTGGGTTGGGGTTTCTTACCCATTTCCCCTTGTCTATGCTGGGATTTTGTCTGATTTGAGCTTCCATGGGACTTGTACGTGCTGTCACCATTACTATGAGTTCATATGAATAACTGAGCAGCTGTCTAGAAAACCATTTCCTGTGGTCATCTGCCACCTCTGGCTCTTACAATTTTTCTGTCCCCTCTTCTGCAGTGATTCCTGAGCTTTGGGAGGCAGAAGTTTGAGATAAGTGCCTATTCATGGATAAGTGTTCAGAGTTATTTATAATCAACACTTAAACCAGCTTCGAGTCTCTACCCAAGCAAAAAGAAGCTTCTCTGACCGAAGTTGAGTGCCACACATAGGCTTTTGACCATATTTCCAGTACCAGGCATGAAATCCTGCCTGTGGAACAGATGCCATGTCCAATTAGAAAACTGTGTTGCCCCCATAACTGTCAAGCCACTATTTCACTAGTGGGCATATCTTGCCAGGAAATTAGAATTTGCAGGACCCAGTACTGGATGAGACCACTGGTGTCTTTTCTTCTCCAGCAGTCTATATAGCACCTTCTGGCATTGTGTAAGCTAGCAAGCAGGGAGAGAGTTTCCTGATTAGTTGAGGTTGATTTCTGTATGTCCTGCATTTAAAGTGAGTAGTGTCTTCAGCAATAGGGTTTTGACATCTAGTTATGGCAGGTAGCCAAGAGCAATGGCAGTGGCCTATGTTGTTTTGGGTGCCTCTGGAACCTTCCTGACCAATAACTAACTCCTACGGAGGCATCCTGTGTTATACACTGAGATTTTCATTTAATAACCATCCCCACACCAGATACAAACTTGTCCCATTCCTGAACACACGCATGCTCTTAATTTTTATTATTTCATTTATTTATTTTTATGTGTATGAGTATTTTGCCTACACACATGTCAGTGCACCCATGTTGTGCAGTGTCTGCAGAGACAAGAAGAGGGTGTCCCATTCCATGGAACTAGACTTAAGGATAGTCGTGAGCTGCCATGTTGTTGGGAGCTGAACCTGGGTCCTCTGGAAGAGTAGCCAGAAAAAGGAACCCTTATATACTGTTGGTGGGAATGTAAATTATTTCAGCCACTGTGTAGGTTCCTCAAAAAACTAAAAAGTAAAACTACCATGTCACTCAACTTTACTATTCCTAGGTATATAACAGCACTGGGCTAGAGTATTTTTATTGGATTGTTTTTTGGGGGTGGGGATGATGTTGTGGATTGAACCTACATACTCCCATTCTGGACATGCCTTTATCATTCTCATTTTGTTGAAGTCGGCATCTACAGAGATACATGTTTATTGCAGCACTCTTTACAAAATTGTGCGTGCGTGCATGTGTGTGTATGATACATCATCTTCAGGAAAATGTATGGTTATGGAAAGTACCATATTAAGTGAGATCAGGTAGTTTCAGACAAATGTTCCATCTCTTCTCTCATATGTGAAAGCTAGATTTAAAGAGAAAAAGACACAAAAGCAGAATAGAGACTTTGGGAAGAGGAAGGTGACCAGGAGAGCTGGGTGCAGGGCAAAAGAGAGAAATCAGGTGTGTGAATATGATCAAAACATATATAAAGCATTTTTTATGAAACCCATTATTTTGTACACTGAATGTACACTAAAAGTAAAAGTGGAGCTTGGTTTCATGATGGTATTTTACTGCCCTGGCATCCAGAAGAATTTTGAAGATGAATTAGAAGCATAACATTGACTAGCCCTCTATCCTGGACTAGGTTCTTCTGGTTTGAAAACACTTTCTAGTTCTAGTTGAAGCAGTTAAGTTTTGGGAACTCATATAAGCCAGAGTGCCCTGTCACCAGTTTCCAGTAAGAGTGAGAACTCCAGTGTCAAATGCATATTGTGTTCATGTATTAAAATGAGACATTATCCCGTGAATATATAAAGCTGCTGTGTGTCAATTAAAAAAACAAACATGGGCTGGGGATATAGCTTAGTGAGGTGCTTGCTATGCAACCATGGAGGACACAAGCTAGGTCCCCAGAGCTGTATGAAAAACCTGGGTGGTAGTGGGGGTAATACACTTAGAATCCCAGAGCTGGAGATGCAGAGACTGGTGTGTCCCTCGGCCATTGGCCTGCCAGCCTAACCTAATCTGTGGTCTCTAGCCCAGTGAGAGACTTTCATAAAACAAGGTAGATGGCTCCTGAAGAACAATGCCAAGGCCTCCATGTATGGGAACACATACACACCCACAGACATATACTCACATGCATACACATACACACGAAATTTTTTTTTTTTTTTTTTTGGTCTTTTTGAGACAGGGTCTCCCTGTAGCCCCAGCTGTCCTGGAACTCACTATGTAGACCAGGTTGGCCTTGAACTCACAGGGATCCAGCCTGCCTCTGCCTCCTGGGTGCTGCAATTAAAGGTGTGCGCCACCACACCCAGCATGAAAATATTTTAATATTTAAAAAATCACTGATAGCAAAGACAGTGAGTCAGACAGGCCAGGGCTGGAATTTTAGCTCTTCTGACAGTTTGTCTATGTTTAGTGTATTAGTTATTTTTCTTATTGTTGTGGCAAGATACCTGACAAGAAGCATCTTAAGGGAGGAGGGGTTTATTTTGGCTTGCAGTTCAAGGGGATACAATCCATCACGGCAGGGAAAGCCTGCCAACAGCTGGTCATACTGCATCTCCAGTCAGAAAACAGTAAACAGAAAATGGGGCCAGGCTATAAAACCTCGAGGTTCACCCCAGTGACCTACTTCCTCTAGCAGGGCTCCAGAACCTTCTCAAACATCAGTACCAGCTGGGGACCAAGTCTTCAAACACATGAGCTTATAGGGGGTATTCACTCATATTCAAATCACACTGTTCAGTGTAGATTTCTGTCATGCCATTTACCATATATGTTGAAACTGTGTCTCTTCACTAACAACCCAATGACTTTGCTTAAAAACTTTTTGGCTCTTGACATTACAGTTGGGAATTGGGTGCAAATTTGAACAAAAGTGGCAAAATCAAAAAATAGTGATAGTGCTAGTTTGCGGTGATCTCAGCAAAAACGGTGGATTAGAGTGTTCTAGGTTCTTGTTCTCTTGCAGAAACACTGAAAACAAACGCAACAAACCCCACTCGGGAACTGTATGAACCAGTTTTTTCGGGGTTCTGAATTCAGTCACAGGTTATAGCAACCAAATAATGTCAAATTGAGAAAAAGCTGTTGTTAACCAGCAGGAAAAGCCCATGCTGGTGTTTTGATCCCTTGCCTTTCTCTCCCTGGTGTAGCTATTGTGTAACCTTGAGCAGTTGTTAGCTGGTTCCCAGTTGTTCCCCTTGAATGAGAGAATGCAGAGCCAACTTTATTTGCAAATTGTTATGTGTTTCCTGTCATAACTTCTCTCAGGGATACCCGAGAACTAATGCAGGATATGTTTCTCTTACATAGCCAGGAAAGCAGGCAAGAAGAGCAGCTAGCACTGCTTGTGAAAACTACAAAGTGACTACAGACACAAGGAGGCCCAAAGAGAGTCTGGCTGGGAAGATACAGGAGTCACAGAGTTACAAACTAAATTATAATAATGCTAACTCATGTAATTACCTTTAGTGGCAATCTTAACATCAGCTTGCAGCTATAAGTTACTATCTACTGTGCTTTCATTTCAACCTAAATCCAGTTAGACTGCTTTTCATATTTCTCGTGTAGGTCTCATGGTAATGAACTCCCACAGCTTTCGTTATATGGCAGTGCCTTAATTTCTCTCTTGATTGTCAAAGAACAGTTTGCCTGATACATATTTTCTTTCAGTTTCAATGCATTCACATCTATTCAAATCTTCTGATTGGAAATTTACTTCTATCAATGGACATTTAGATTATTTCCATTTAGGAACTATTATGAATAAAAATTTCTATGAACATTAAAACAATATTCAAAAACAATCATATATATTAGGGAATATTGAAAGCCCTGCTTGTGTCTAGGCTAGACACATGCTCATAAAAGACCTAAGAAGACTTTTTTCAGTCAGATCCCTAGGTTCAGAATAAACTTAAGGGTTGGAGGAGTCCTGCACAGAGCTGGAGAGCAGATTGCCTTGATCACAATCAAAAAGCAATAGTCTTTGCTGGGCGTGGTGGCGCACACTTGGGAGGCAGAGGCAGGTGAAGCTCTGTGAGTTCAAGGCCAGCCTGGTCTACATAGTGAGTTCCAGGACAGCTGGGGCTACAGGGAGACCCTGCTTCAAAAAGACGGAAAAAAAAAAAAAAAGCAATAGCCTTTGCAAAAGAAGTTTCAGTATAATTGCACACATCTATAAGCGCTTGGGAGGAAGAGACAGAAGGAATGTGAATTTGAGACCAGCATGGGTTATGTAGC